TCTCTCTCTCAAAAATAAACATTAAAAAAAAAAAAGCAGACTGGAAAATGCTGAAGAGAAACCAGTGAATAGGAACATGGGCCAGAAAAGAGTAAACAGAATAAAGCCTGAAGAGCCTAAGGATGAAAAGGCAGGACAGGAGAAAAAGGACACAGAATATACAACGAAAAGATCGACCACACATATAAGTGGCACTACAGAAACAGAACAGAAAAAGAACGGCACAGAAGCCATGTTTGAAGAGTTCATGTCTGTGAACTTTTCAAAATTGATGAAACCTTTTTTTAGACTGACTGAAAATATCTACGCGCCCTCCCACACAAACACAAAAATAGAAATTCACACTTAGGGACCTCCTGCAGGGTTTTAAAACATGGCCCCCAAATTCTTTGACACCGCTCCCATTGAGTAGTGGTGCCTTATGGCTCTTTACCCTTTAATTTGACTCTGTAACTGTTTTGCCAATAGCATATGGCAGAGGTGATGCCACTTTAGTTTCTGGAGCAAGGTCTTGAGAGACTGGAAGTTTCCACCTCTTTTTTCTGGGGACCCAGTTATCATGCTACGGGAAAACTGACACAACCCACAGGGATGACTCTTGACCTTGGACCCTTAGCTCTGGACGAACTTCCAGGCAACAGCCAGCTCCAACCTGCCAGCTGTGAGTGAGTCATCTTAGAAGTGGACCCTGCAGGGGCGCCTGGGTGGCGCAGTCGGTTAAGCGTCCGACTTCAGCCAGGTCACGATCTCGCGGTCCGTGAGTTCGAGCCCTGCGTCGGGCTCTGGGCTGATGGCTCGGAGCCTGGAGTCTGTTTCCGATTCTGTGTCTCCCCCTCTCTCTCTGCCGCTCCCCCGTTCATGCTCTGTCTCGCTCTGTCCCAAAAATAAATAAAAAAACGTTGAAAAAAAAAAAAAGTTGAAAAAAAAATTAAAAAAAAAAAAAAAAAAAAAAGTGGACCCTGCAGTCAAGCCACCCTGGCTAACACCATGCAAAGTAGAAAAGAGCTTTGCCCACTGAGCTTGGCTCAAATTGCATATGTGTGTGGGCTACACAATTGATTGTTGTTTTAAGGCAAGTCCCGGGGTAGTTTGTTACACAGCAGTAACAGAGGACGACGCACATCCGTCAACATACTGAAACACAGCAGCAACTGACAGGCACCATATTACAACGGCTGTAAACAAAGCGTGGAGAAAAATACTAAAAATAGCAGAGGAAAAAGTTGTCTTCAAACACTGGCGGCTGGCTTCTCAGCAGTGGAAGCCAGAGACAGTGGAATGACATCTTAAAGAGCTAAAAGAAAATAAATGTCAATGAGAATTCTATACCAGCACGCTTCCCTTTAAGTAGGAAGCTGGTATTAAAACATTTCACTCGTCACACAAACAAAGAGAAAGAGAGAGAGGCTTTGTCATTAGCAGACCTACACAAAAGAAAACAGAAACGGATTTTCTCCAGATAGAAGGAACTTGATCCCATATCGATGGCCTAAGATACGGGGGGGGGGGGGAATGAAGTACCAGGAAAATGGCATTTTTGTGGGTGAAACTAAATAAGTGTTGGTGGCATCATGTCTTGTGTTTAAAATAAAAATAGAATTAAAAAAACAAATGGAGGGGCGCCTGGGTGGCGCAGTCGGTTAAGCGTCCGACTTCAGCCAGGTCACAATCTCACGGTCCAGGAGTTCGAGCCCTGCGTCGGGCTCTGGGCTGATGGCTCAGAGCCTGGAGCCTGTTTCCGATTCTGTGTCTCCCTCTCTCTCTGCCCCTCCCCTGTTCATGCTCTGTCTTGCTCTGTCCCAAAAATAAATAAACGTTGAAAACAAAAACAAAAACAAATGGTATAGAAGCCTAGAGAGGAACAAATGGGGTTAAAAAGTTCTAGGACCCATTTGTTGTTCTGGGAGACACTAATGTATCAATTGTACTTCAGTCAGTCCAAGGATGTGTGTTCCGATCTCTAGGGTTCTATCAAGAACTGGGAAGGGTTTCCGATTTTGCCCTACTTGCAAACTAACAAGTTAGCCTGACATAGTTTCATGGATGCTGGCAGAAGACACAAGATTCCTGGATCCAAGACAAAGGCCAAATTGTTACTCCCAGCAACAGCAGTAGCCAGAGTATCAGCGTGTGCGCCAGTTCCCTGGGATCCAGTTCCCACAGGGTGACATGAAGAGGGCCAGGTGACACCTGCTCAAGTTGCATTAGAAGAGAGAGACCCTGAGTGTAGGGAACTTGAATCTTTTACCATTGTGAATAAGCAAATCTGTCTCAGCTTTGCCCTGGAGGATGATATGATTTTTATTCCACAAGAGAGTAAGAAGCAAATGTCCCCAATCTCTATTTTCTAAGGCTGTTCGCTGTATTAACCTCCTTGTAAAGATAACCTGAAACAGAGGAAGTCAGTGTCTCTGCTTGCGAGACACACGAGAGACCCACAGAGAACTGTCCCGCAACAGTTATCACTGAAAGAGAATGACAAAAAAAAAAGAGAGAGAGAGAGAGTGAATGACAGAATGCATAACTTTCGGACTGACAGAGAGGGGACAAATGGAATAATAAGAAAACGATCATGAATTGCAAAACCATTACGCTAAGTGGAAAAAAAAGTCTTAAGACTACATGCTGTATGATTAGAAGGCAAAACCTTAGTGACAGAAAGCGTATCGGTGTTTGCCAGGGGCTGTGGTGGGTGCCGGGGACTTACCACAAAGGAGCATGGAGGGAATTTTGGAGACCACAGAAATGTTCTGTATCTTAACTGTGGTGATGGCACATGGGTGTGCCCTGTCACCGAAACTCACCAAATGCTACACTTCCAGTTGGTAA